AATGTCCTCATCATTGTGGACCTTGTATTTGATGCTAAGAACGTGTTTAAACATTAATAAACAAAAATTGTCACATTGACAACTAGAAAAATTAATGATCCAATGTTACCAACTTAAACTGGTTCCATAAATTGTTACTAAAATCTCATTACAGCATTGGATGTTGTAAGGAGTCTCATTACAGCACCCGTTTGAGTACTGTTATAGCTTTGATTACCGTCGCGAATTACAAAATAGTATATTAACAAACAAATTTCGTAAGACACATTTGAAATGCACGAATTCAAGTTGAAAAATGAGTGGCGAAGCCAAGAGTTTTTTAATGAATGAGTGCTTTAAGTCTTATGAAACGTGTTTTTTATGCTATTTTTTGTAATTCGCGTTTTTATCCTTTTTTTTCTCAAAAATAAAATAAATTTTGACAATGTAGGGAAATAGGTATGTAGCAGTTGGTAACACCGTAACACTTGAAAATAGAAATTTGAATTGACAATTAGAAACTGTCAAAACACAAAATGTATTCACCTGACAAAAATGTTTCATGTACACCTCCCAAAATAAGAGAAATTGCTCAGAGTTCAATGTCCTCATCATTGTGGACCTTGTATTCGATGCTAAGAACGTGTTTAAACATCCATAGACAAAAATTGTCACATTGACAACTAGAAAAATTAATGACCCAATGTCACCAACTTGAACTGGTTCCATAAAATGTTACTAAAATCTCATTACAGCATCGAATGCTGTAAGGAGTCTTATTACAGCACCCGTTTGAGTACTGTTATAGCTTTGATTACCGTCGCGAATTACAAAAAGATTTTTACACCACTCTGAAATTACAAAGCTTTGTTATAAATCGATAAATATGAGGCAATTAAAACGATATGTTTGCAAAATGAAGGTAATACGGGACAAAACGAAGAATTCGTCGAACTGAAGGTCCCTACACCAAAATGAAAGCCGCACACAATTAAAGGACAATTATTTTATGATTGATGTGGGCTCTAACAACGGGAAAAGGGTCGGGAAATCGATAGAAATGACCACAAAATCAATAACGTTTGCAGGTGCCTGCCCTCGCATATGTTGATAATTGTTCGGAAAGGCGACAGCAAGCCTAATCGCCGGCTTGCAATATTGATGAAGGATTGATTTCACGTTTCGTGTCGGCGGTGTTGTTGAATCCTATGGGAAACCATCAACCCGTAATATTCTCCGGACGTGAACTATCGCCGTAATTGATAGATAACAATCTTGCTTGTGATTCCTGTTATATAGCGCCTATTATTTCCGTTAATATTGGTTGATTGGGTCTATTATTCGTATTCAATAGTTTTCTATTATCTTCATTGTTTATATTTAATGATATAATTAAAAAAAAAGAAGATAAGTTTTAGTTGAATAAAAATATTCAACAAACTGGCGCTGAATAACAAATAAAGCAACTAAAATAGGTTGTTTTCATAAATATTCTATAAAAATTGATCTTTAATTTAGATAGGTTGCTTTTTACGATAGTTTGAGAAATAAATATTTTTCTGTAAAGCTGAATAAACTTAAATCGAACAGGCTTCTTTGATTCTCATAACCAATATATGAGGTCTCGTATTATACAGAAAACCAAGGATTTGTGTTGACTCATCGCAACTGCTAATAAACCAGCTCTAAATTTATACTAAAATCATCAGTGAAAACAGCAAAAGGAAAAGATTTAATATCATCATCACCCTAGAGTACTTTAAAGTTTCATCCCTTTGTTTTCCTTTTTTACACGTTCTCCCAGCCCTACTCATTTCTAATCCCAACAGGCCATAATCACGGTTCTCGGAGTTGATTTAGCTCTTAAATCCTTTAGTTACCGCGGCGCGGAAACTGATTTTAATTAGGGTTGACGAAAACCCTTCGAAAAATGACCAATTCCGGCAGGTAGCTCGCTAATTAAAAACTTCCACCGTCTACTACCGTTGTTTTTTCCGAGTCGCAGCGGAGGGGATCGAGGGAGGAAATCGAGGGTATCCAACCCTCTATAACAACGACGCCGACGCCGCGCGGCGTCGCCACGTTCACTGCAAATACGGTTTTTGGTTCAGTCGTGTTACGACTTCATAACGTCTCCCGGACGTCCTCGTCACCCATTGATATCGCGTTTCGTCACGTGGACCCATCATGCCATAACAACCACCTGTAAGTAGAAAGCAGAAAAGTTATTTTTTAGTAAATATTTAGAGTTAAGAAAAGAATTTAAATTATTGGCAAAGTTTAGTAAACCTTACGTACAAACTGAGTTGATTTAGCTTTGTGAGTAATTTGATGGAGATTTATCCCCAAACTAAACCAAATCTAATCCGCAAATCCAACCTCATGGTGAAAGTTGTAATTGGGGTGCTGAAATATGTTTGTATTCTTCCTAGTAATGTAAATTGTTGCAACATATACTAATGGCAGAATGTTTACTAATGTTAATCATGTCTTATTTGCTATGCTTAAAGAAACTTGCATCGGCCATCAATGCAAAATGTTAATGCACCTCGATAGCTTCATATGAAAAAAAGATGTTTTCTCCAAATCCAAGAAGCTACACTTAACATTCCTATACAAAGTGTCATAAACTTAACCGAGTGTGTTGCTTAACTTTTTATTGGTATGAGGAGTATTATTATACGTTAATCGGCAAATACTACTTACATTATTCACACACAAAAGTTTTCAACTAGTTTCAGCACCAAAAAGATGTAGAAAATAAGATGTTGTCTACAACTCAGAGTTGTTGCACTTCGGAAGAGTTTACCCTAACTTTAGATCTTGCTACATTTTGCACCTAATAATTTTGAATCACTGAATAAGATTTATGATCGACATTTCCGAATCAAAGCACTGTCCAAATAGAATATTTAAGTTAATTTAACGTTTATACTGTAACATGGAAAGCAATTAATTTCGAAATGATTAAGTTGAAACAATGTTTGGGTAAAAAAAGTTTTTTTTGTTCTCATGTTTAAAATAAAAGTTTTAATAAAATAGCAAATTTAGATAAAAGCTTTACAAAAAAAAATTGTAATTGATGATGCATTTCAGACCGAGTTGTTTCCTTGATGAGATTAAATTGCGTAGTACCTGTTTATACATAAATCAATCTGAAAAATTACTTGGAAAGATTTTCACCGGGTGATTGCTTTAAATGGGGCTATTCATGTTATTTAAAGTATGATTTTATAACATTCCATACAGAATCATAAATTTTTCTTATTACCTAAAATTGCCTGAAGCGCCGCAAATAAAAACTTCTATCGTACACGCGAAAACAAGTTTATGACAAAGGAATTTGGTTTGTGAATAAACTTTATGACAAAGGAATTTCGTTTGTGAATAGAACGTTCTCGCGAGAACACACGTCTCGAGGTTTACCAAGACGTGTGTTACTTCCGTTAGAAGATTGCAACGCGCTTTCAGCTATGCATTACACGTGCCGCACTCAATTTAATTTGTATTGTATCGATACCGGTGGTTGAAGTGCTTCCGCTAATGGTATCTCTGTACCGACGGAGTTTGAAAGCAGATGTGTTCCAGATATGAGTGTTAAATGGAACGTGGTCCTTCTATTCTTTATGGTTTTTATTCTTTCAACCTTTTTTAACAATTTATTTTACTATTTCGAAATTATTGTTGAATTTGATTTGTATGCACATAAAAGTTGGAGGAATACAAATGTACAGGGTGTCCCGTACAGCGCACGGAGCGGCTGTATCTCTAGAACGGTAAGACCTAGAGGTTTGGGAAAAAAATCCTTATAAGCAAAGTGACCAAGAGAAATAGCTGGAAATTATTTTGAAGTTCAGTAAACAAATTTGAGTTTCAGAAACATTTCTGATACATATTATTTCTATCGAAACGTTTCTGCAACATACAGCTGACAATTACGGTACATTACTAAGATGTTTCATTAACGGTTTTGAATCATTTGTGATAAGTAAATACGTTTACCAATCTACGAAAATGTCTCCTAGAGATATTCAGCTTTAATTTTTTTCTTTCCATCTTATCACACGAATGTAAAACCACATACAGGGTGTATCAGGTGTGAGTAGAAAAAATTTGAGGGGTTATAGGTCCCCTTTTTGTGAATACAAAATTCTTATAATACAATGTCCTATTCTTTAACATTCTTAAGATGTGATACGATAAAGTTAAGAGTTTGAAAGTTTAAGTATGTACTGCTGTATAAAGAATTATACTAAGCAGGCTTTGCTTATGTATATTAATTTGACACATAAAAGTTATTTTTGAGATATTTTTTTTAGAAGTTGTTTACAAAAATATAAAATTATATCAAATTTACATGTTGTAATCTGAGTGGGTAACATCCATTACACGCAAGTTGAATACTATACTTTATCTACAACTATTTAATTTTGAAAAAAAATTCAAAAAAAAAATAAACTTGATAGACATTTCAGACATAACCTCAATATAAGAAAGCTGTCATTTCTGTTAATATTTTATTTTTTGATTAGTAGGCCGTGTCAGAACTGTGGAATAATGGCTTCATTATTCAACACTTTGTCAGTCATAGGTAATGCGTGTCATTACCCGTCAAAAATCAATTGTATAACGAATAGATAATTCAATAGTTGTAGATAAACTTACTTATTGTATTAAAAACAACAAAATTACAAAACTAGAAACAAATTGCAAAATAAAGCCTGCTCAGTACTCAAACCTGTGAACCCTTAACTTTATGGTATCATATCTTAAGAAGAACAAAGAATGGGACATTGTGTTATAAGAATTTTTTATTCAGAAAGGGGAGACCTATAACCCCTCAAATTTTTTCTACTCATACCTGATACAGCCTGTATATAACTATATAATTTTATGATTGCAGGAGAAAAACAGCCAAATTTAGCGGGAATCGCGATCATACCTTATAAGTTATGGTTTGACCTACGGAAAACGTAAAATTCTTTATCTACGACTGCTTGGATAAGTCATCATTACCGCACTCATTTGAGGTGATTTGAGTTACGTAATGAAGTTCATTACCGCACTGGTTTCATTACGTAACGCATTTTTAGCCTAATCAGAACAGACTTAATTTATTGAAACGAGCAACAATACAAAAGAAAAAGTGCTATCTACTTACAGAGAAACAATACTATTTATTATAAACATTAATTGTTATGTTTTTACATTTCAAAACACTTATTCCAGATGAGTAAACATGTTGTTGAAACTGACAATTCAAAATTGTCAACAATCATTTCAAAATATTTTTATAAATGTCAAATAGATTTTTCTAAAGAAATTGATTTTTTAGTAATTTTTAGCAGTCGTAGATAAAATGCTGTATATCACACGTGGGCTAGAGCATAATTATGTTTCTAACCGACTTGTAATATAAATAACTATTACATACTTTCTTTAAATAGTGTTCATTAGCCGTATTTTCATTAACTAAATCTAGTGGTGATATATAAAAGAACTTATACAAAACTTGCGCCATTCTAAACCAATATTCAAACGATTCGAACTGAGAACAGAAGAAAACATACAATAGAACAAGACGCTGACCGCGTCACCGCGATGTAGATATTCCAGACATGTTTCAGACACATTTGTAGAGAAATGTTTCAAATAAAATGTTTCTGCTACATATTTTAATGATATTTCATAAATATTCCTACTGAAATGTATTTGATACATATCATTAGATACGTTCTGTAGAAAGCGTACCTGTCACATATATGAAACGTAGTTCTAAGATGTTTCATTTAATTCACTGTACGCTAAAATTGAAATGTTTCCCAGATGTTTCTTGTTTACTGGGTAATATCTCCTAGACCATTCAACCGATTTGAATATTTTCGGTATTGTTTGAAAGAGCATTTTATGCTCTTTTTGAAGATATTCAGTAAGACCGTTTGTTTTAAAACAAATGAGCTAGAGGACGTTATCTGCAGCGATTACATGTTTTTGTGATTTTTGAAGAAAAGTTAAATGGAACGATATTATTTACTTCACAGACCCTTAGTTACCTTAAAATTTGCTAAATTTTAGTGAAAACCGCATCTCGATATCGCCACCCGTTCTCGAATTATAGAAGAAAATGTTAAAAACTCGAGTGCCATCAATCGGATCCAGTTACCTCATCGAGAAAAACAAATCACATAACCATGGTAACTGTAAGCATGTCATTTACTAACGCAGAAGCGTATGATAGAGCGTATGATGATTTATTTTCAATGTTTCGAATACGATGCCATGGCAAAAATGTGCAATGCAATTACGACAAAGAGAGACATTTTTCTCTAGAAGTGTTTTTAAGATTGACTTAGCGATTACGGAAAACTGGCAACGTGTAGCCCATTCAGACATCTCTATGAATTCGTAAATCACATTGATGCGCAATGTGATCCCTCATAATCTGGGAACTCCGAAAACAATTATCCACAAGAGTTCTCAAGAGAATAATATCTACACCACGTTGTTTTGCATCAGGCCTTAACAGATACCGATTATGATAACAGACTGAACTATTACCATTGACTTTTAAATATCATTTGGACAAATCCAAATCTTTTATCACAAATGCTATGGATGCATGAAGCATCTGTCAACAAGCTGATGTAAACTTGCATAATATGCATTCTTGGTTTGAGCAAAACCCACATTGCTTTCACCCCTTTATCTATTGGGTAGACTAAACGACCTGACTTTTCAAGAAAAACCAATAACCAGGGAGAATATGGCAAAACACTAAATACCAGTAGAAACGTATCTAGGGCCGAGACTTAAGCAGCGCTTTTTTTCATCGAGGTTTATGAAAGGCATTTCGCACATTAGTGAGTTATTTTTGCCAAAATTTAAGTTATTCTAAATGTTTTGATTTATTTTGTTTTATTATCATTGTTGATATTTCATTGATCCGTTGACTTTTTAACACGCCTCAAAAGTAGTTTTGAAGCAGTTCTAAGCTTGGATAAAGTGTTTTAGAAGGTTCTAGATAATAAAATTATTGTTCTCTCTTATTTGTTTCTTAAGGTAACTTGATCCGATTAAGATATACGAATTTTTAACATTTTCTTTTATAATTCGAGAATGGATGGAGATATCGAGATGCGGTTTTCACTAATATTTAGCAAATTTTATGGTGATTAACGGTCTGTGAAGTAAATAGTACCGTTCCA